CAGGACATCTCCTGAAACTGATATGTCAGATTCCACCTTCTGCAGACTCTGTGCCTTCTGTGGAGATATGCTCCATGCATAGAGAGGGTCATACAACAGCACCTACAACAGTTTCAACTACCTGTAACATTTACATTTTATTTGTTTTACCTATGGAAGTAGTACAATTTATGCAGATAACAAAATCAGATAATACAAAAAAAAATTTACTTAAACAAGGACAGCATACAAATATGTATTGCACAAACATTATTTAAGGTAACGCTAAAGTTAAAGGTGCAATAGCAAGTCGGGAATAATTTCTTAGAAAAACTTCAAAATAAATCGTTGGTGCCTCAAACCTGCCCCGAAGAATGGCTACGATCTTTCATCAAAAGTACAAAAAATGGCAGCCATATTCTTATGGTAAATTTTTATCGGTTTTCCTTATAGATGAAAGCATTTCCTGACCAAAGAAAACTTCACATTTAAACACATTTTTCATAACTATGAATAAAGTTAGCATGAAGACCGTGAAATGAGGCTAATTTTTGAAAGCTTCAAGGAGTAGGATTGCAACAGTCACACATTTGCAAGAATCCAAAATTTCCACAAATCATCTTATTATTACCTTACCAAGGAACATCAAAGACGCATGAAAATGTGTACTTCTTGCATTGTTAGAGTATGATAAAGCTCAAGCCATAGATTCTCATAAATATTTCATGTACGTCCACCATTTTGTTTACAGGAACTACTTCTAGACTTCCTGATTAATCCTCATACATGTACATGTACAAGTTTTGTGACTACACCAAGTGACATGGATTATCAATAGTATATTTTATCTACAACAGTATAACTATCATGATAAGTACACGATTGAGGCTTTATAAATGATTAATAACAATGGATACATGAGTGAAGATTACTTTGGACTAGAAAATAGTTCCAGGAAACAAAATGGTGGACATGAAACATTTAGAATTCACAATCGTTTTAGCTTTATTATACTCTAACAATGCAAGAAGTACACATTTCCATGCGTCTTTGATGTTCCTTGGTAAGGTAAGATGAATTAGATGATTTGTAGAAATTTTGGAGTCTTACAAATGTTTTTACGTTGCAATCCTACTCCTTGAAATTTTTTAATGTTATCCTCACTTCACTGTCTCCATGCTAGCTTTAGTGACTCATGCACCTCCAATTCATAGTTATAAAAAATGCGTTTAAATGTGATGTTTTCTTTGACATGTCTCTTTAGTCAGGGAATGCATTCACATATAAGGAAAACACACAAAGTCTTGTGACTTTAGCAAAAAAGTATGGCTGCCATTTTTTTGTACTTTTGATTAACTTAAGAACTAAAACCATACTATTGGGCGATTATTAAGGAACCTAAGAAAGACAATTGCAAAGCATCAATTGAAATAATTTTGAAATATGGCGGCCATCTTGAAAATGTCTTCTTGAGCAAGGCTCCTTTGTACCCAGGCAACAGGATATAAAATCTGAGCCAAATCCATCCACTAGTATTCGAGTAATCAAACATTATATTTTTTTCGAAAAATGGCCGCCATTTAGAAATATGGCAGCCATCTTAAAAATGTCTTCTTGAGCAAGGCTCCTTTGTAGCCAGGCAACAGCATATAAAATTTGAAACAAATTCATTTACTAGCAGGGCTGTCAACTTGGGACTGTCTAACATGAATGACTTCCAAATGACTTCCAAAACGCTCGCTGATCCAGTCCGTCAACGGGGGGGGGGATTTGTACAAAATACGTGACATAAACGGCAATCGCGTGCAAAGACCGAACGGGATGCGTTCGCTTTTTTTCGCCGTTCGGTATTTTACCGTGTCGGCATTTCACAAAAAAACAATTTTTAAAAATATCAACAAAATGCGTGATTTGCGTGATATTTGATCATACACGCTAAATTAATGCGTGGTTTCTATTTTTCCAGCAAATGTGTGACAATCACGCCTAATGCGTGAGGGTTGACAGGGCAGTACTATATTTCTAGTATTTGAGTTATCAAAGATTATATTTTTCGGAAAAATGGCCACCATTTTGAATTTAGCGGCCATATTGAAAATTCCTTCCCGAGCTGTAAGTCGGCACTAAAATTGCCGCCACTTTGAAATGTATTATATGTATTTAAAAGAAATTGATTTTTTGGTAATTATTTGGCGCGTTCTGAGTGATTCTAGGATCAAAATAAATGATTTATTTTAACAAAATGAATTTTTGGACTAATTTGGCTGTTCTGAGTGATTAAACAATCAAACAAGGCATTAACACGACAAAATGTCACCACCTAGTTGCTCACAATATTATTAGTTCAACCTTATATCAGATTTGAATTTCTGAGAACTTGTAGATGATTTTGAAAAAATTGGTCAATTTAAAGCAAGTTGAAAAATACCTTTTTTGAACCTGAGAAGGTCATTGAAGGTGAAATTTCAAATCTAAAGTCAGATTTGAACTTCTGAGAACTTGTAGATGATTCTGAAAAAAGAATTTGGTGAATTTGAAGCAAATTGAAAAAGACCTTTTTGACCAAATCTAAAATCTAAAGCCAGATTTGAAGTTCTGAAAACTTGTAGATGATTTTCAAAAATACTGAAGTCAGTCTAAACAGTATTTGTTAAGTTATTGGAAGTTTTAAGAATTTGTTACAGATGGCAACCACCGATCACAAACCGAAGCCACATAAAAACGGAGATCATAACAATATGTCATCACTTTTTGGTGGTGACATAAATATATGATTAATTTCAATTTACACTTTGCTCCCGACTCTTAATAATATGCGACTGCATATTCTGCGTATATTTAGCTACGCCAATTTTGTAGTTTGACCTATTTTTTGTAGGGCCGAATTTTTGGGGCCTAAGTTTGGCTGGCGGACAGTGACATCTTGCTCTAACTTTGTTGGTTTTTGATAGAATTACAAGTACATCAAACTTTCCAATAACAAAGATCAATAACTGCCCTGTCGGGGTCCGTGCATTGTACCAAAACCCATTATACCGACGCGCATTGTACCGAAGCGCATTGTGCCGACGTGCATTATACTGAACAGCATTCCAACGAACAAGAATTAGATAGAAAGTTGTTTAGGCACTGGAAACATGTTTGTACGTCGATAGTACAGGGTGTTCAAAAAACGCAACCCAAAGAAATCGGGTTATATATATTTTACAAGTGGATCCAAGAGACCAAGTGGGCAAGTCCATTATTTTGCAGTGGTGGCAGGATATACACATGCACAAATACAAGATCACAGATTTCTTCAATGAGGGACCAGTTTAATGTTACACCAATAGTCCATTTTCTCCACTTGGTCACTCTTAGATTGAGCCAAGTATTGGATGATTGGAGGCAGTTTTGATCAATTTTGCAAAGGGTTAATTTTATTCTCATCTGTCTCAACAAAACAGGAATATTCAAGAATTCATACAGGCATATTTCTCTAATGTAAACTATATCATTGATTGGCCAAGGGTTCATCTATAATCCTGGGAAATAGCCTCTTCTGGACGTAAAGCGTGGGAACATTTGATTTGACCAGTTCCCATGGCAGTGTGTCACCTGTCATTTCTCTGGAATGATGTACACATCCTCCAAAAGATTGGAAACAATTGTAGTACAGTAAAACTGTATATCTGAACACTTGGCTAATCTGAACACCTCCCATTTTTTGGTCCCGTTTTTCCTCCCATTGACTCAAATGTTAAAAAAAACTTTAAATGTGAACACCTCCCAATTTGAGCAGTGAACAGTCATGTTTGAAAAATTAACCTATCTAATATGACCACTTTTCATAAAATATCACATGTCCCATACAAAATTGCTAAAACATTGAAAAAAAACTTGAATGGTGGGGCTTTCTAGGATGACTAAATTCATTTGAATCAGATTTTCATGTCACTGGAGTGTAATGCTATAAAGCTATGTAGTCAAAAGAACTATAAATATTTATTGGGAATTTGTTCCTATTTCTTCAAAATCCCAAATTTTGCAAATACAAAACCTCAAAATGTGAACACCTCCTAATCCGAACGCTTTTAGCTTGTCTCTCGGATTAGACAGGTTTTACTGTAGGCACAATCCCCTCTAAAAATTACTGAAATCACTGGCTAGGAATTGGTGTTCGCTTACACACAGGTGTTCGATAGAGTAGACTCATATGTTCGCTGGGCACAGATCTTCACTAAAGAGATGTTCATTATGACAGTTCTAATGTACTGAAATCACTGGCTGGGAATTGGTGTTCACTATACACAGGTGTTCAATAGAGTAGATGCATGTGTTCACTGGGCACAGATCTTCACTAAAGAGGTCTTCATTATGACAGTTTTACTGTACTGAAATCAATCGCTGGGAATTCACTATATACAAAATGGAAATGTGTGTATCATACCACCCCTGCAAAATAATTGACTCGCTCACTTGGTCTCTTGGATCCACTTGCAAAATATTATAACCAAGAAATCGCTATATCTTTCAGGAAAGAACGAAGAGATTGTGTAATATAGCACACGTTACTAGTTAGTTGTAAAACATGATGCCTTGGACAACTGCTAAAAACATATTAGTATTAGAAAGATACGAAAAACGCAGTCAGAGACGACTGCCATAGCAATAAAACCAAATAACTTTCTAGCCATAGTGTTTTGGCTATTCAAATTTGGCACAAATCATCTTCATTCAATGTATGATAAATCTGTAGAGTGAAATCAAAATCACTCCAGGGACTTTACAGTTTTGGTCGAAATGCTTTCAAAACTCAGTCAAACACCCTGGTTCAGCCAGACTTAAGAAGGAATTTTGACCATGACTGTAAAGTCCCTGGAGTGATTTTAATGAAACTTCCCTAATTCACTGTACATTTTATTAAGATATTTTGTACTAGGTCCTGTTTTGATGCTAAGGCCTGTCAGTCGCACAAAAGTTCTAAATAGGATTTACATAAAACTAATTTTTAAAGACTTTGTTCTCTTTGGTTTACAAACATTGCTGTCATCACATCATGAAATCTAGCCAATATACCCGTTTCCTTTGTTGCACTAAATGGGGTCATGTTTTGATAGAAAGGTTAGTTTTGAATTGAATCTTTTGGACTAGACAAGGACAACACAATTCGTAACTTATTTCTTTTCATTTTGATTTGTGAATAGAACAAGCACCATGGCATCTAAACCTGTCGATCCTTTTGGACCTACTCGAAAAGCACGGGTAAATTTTAGATTGAACGATGATATTGAACTTCTGAAAAGCGTTCTTGCGAGAAATCCCTGGAGCGACACGAGTAGGTGGGAGGCTATCAGTAGAGAAATTTCGAGAGACGACTTCATTGTGTCATCAAGAAGAGCAAGCGAAAGGGCAGAACTCTTGCTAAAGTCTTACAGAGCAGAAGACCGCCTAAAGCGATCAAAGTGAGTAAGCTTGTATTTGCGTATGCAACTAATGGCTGTCGGCTTCCGGATAAACCTACTTTTTTAAGACCAACTCATTTAAATATGAATGGAATAGTGGCAGTTATTATTCATATTTAAATGAGTTGCCCATAAAACAGTCAGGTTAATTCGGTAGCCGTTAGTTGCATTCACGAATACAAGCTAAGAAATACATATAATAGATCATAATTACATAATTATTATAAAATTACATTAACAAGAATATGGTATAAAGAACATGATATAAATACAGTAAATGTATAATGAAAGAGATTCCTTGCAACTTTATACAAAATCATAAATCTTAGTCTAAACCCAACCTTATTATAAATGTTATAAATGTAGATTCTGACCCCAAACACTTCAATTCAAACTGAACATGAACATCTTAAACTTAGCTTGTATTCGCGAACGCAACTATCCCGGGGCAACTACCGGCTACCGGATTAACCTACTATTTTATGACCAACTCATTTCAATAAGAATGGTATACTGGATGATACTATTCAAAATTTAAATGGGATTCTCCATCAAATTGCAATCAACCCGGAAGCCGTTAGCCGCCTTTTGCATTCGTGAAGCTAAATTGGCGGCGATCAATCAATTATTCACATTATTTCATAATACTAAAATCGCTTTCCACAAGATTAAATGTCTTTGAATCCTCGTTTTGTAACATAAGCTAGCATTCACAAATGCAACTGCAGGCTGACGGATTAACCGTTTAATATATGTCCAACTCGTTAAAATATAAATATTACCTGCCATTAGTACATAAGTCATAAATAGGTTAAACCGTCAACCGATGGTTGATTTCGCGAATGCTACCTTCTGTAAAATCTACAGTCATTACACCCACTCAATTTCACATTATAATTGGATAAGATTTACAATTACCAGAGCTTGGTCAGCGACAAGCAGCACCTCTATCTCTATTAACATAACAGTGTAAAAGCTACATTATTCCTTGTTTCTGATTTACTTTTATTTAGCAACTTTCACGACGATAATTTTAGTGATTTTTATTAAATCACACGTGAAAAATACAATACGGGCAGTAGAATTATCCTTCACCTCCATATTATTGTCAAAAAGGGTCAAAAACCCATATAACATGCAGTTCAGTGCATTTTCTTGTGCTTTAGGTCAGGTACAGAAGAGTTGTATGACGAGTATTAGTGTCTAGTATTTTTTGACATCAAAATCCGCAATTTCTCGGAAACCGGGCGAACTTGGGAAATGGCGACGATAAGTCAAATAGGCATTATGGATATGCATAAAATGAATGTGGATATGACTCAATCCGAATAGCAGTTTTAATTTGTGCGGCCAATGTTGACGGACCGACGGACGGACGGACCAACGGACGGACGCCTGGTCGATCCCATAGGCTCATTGTGTGAGCCAAAAAGTTAATGAAATTTTGAAAAGATCATTGGAAACAGCAAGACAAACCGCTATGAGGCATGAAAAGGAAGAAACTCAGAATGAAGAAAAGAAAGCTTCACCTCCAAAGAAAAAGAAGAACACGGGACAAGGTACATGAGGTAGGGGAAATGGGAAATTAGCCAGGGCACTGGTAATGGGGTCTTGTCACAGATTTTGTCAGTATTTTTAATATTTTGTTTCCAGTATCTGATAAAGCACAGAGAACTTTCAATTCAAATGAACCGTGGCTTAAGTGTTAACAATATTTCCTTGCAGATATATAGACCAAAAAGACGGATTCGAATTTAACACATTTTACTCTTAATCTTGCGCACATTACAGGCTCTGAGGCACAATTTTGATTTTTATGATAAGACCGATTTTCCTGTGTTGGGACGTTACTTCCTATTGTTTCAGTGATCATTTTCGCTGAGACGAAGATTTTTAACACACTTTTTATCCACATCAGTTTGAATGTTTGAACACGTGTTGTTAATATTCTACTGATTTTTGCAATACTTGTTACCAATAAGACAATGAATTATGGGATTTCGCGAGTGCATCGTTTTCATAATTTTATATGGTGATAATTAATGATGATAATTCAAATAGTTACCATTGGAAAGGGTAATTCACTTGTATTTACATACAGTCTGAATTACAGATGTATATAATTAAAATAAGGATAACTTCTGTTTCAGTAAGTGATCAATAGTACTAGTATAGTTTCTAAATAGCTACATAAAGCTGAATAAAGCTGACATAATAGATGTCACCTTTGTTCACCTTGGGCCAACCTTCCGTTGAGTTCTATGCTAAAAGCTTGCAAGTCACTTAATTTCATGATTTATCAAAGAGTGTTAGTTAAATCTGTCTGAAAGTTGAATGGCATACTATTAAATGACCCTGTCAATGAACATATTGTGATTAAACATGAAAATGTTGGTTGTCATACGATTAAACCATGGTTTTAAAGAATTTTAGCATAACATCAATGGAGATTTGGCCCAAGTTTTTTTAAAATGTCATGGAGAATGATTTAAATGACATAAATGTGTAAATCAAAGCTATTATTGTAGGAAACATATCACTGAATTCAAATATGCTATCAAAAAGAAAGAAAAGTAAGTCATTAGAGGTAAAATGTGCAAATCTCTTAAAATCTCATGAAAAAACGAGAATTAGCGAGATTTCAAAATCATTTAGAAACTCCTCTATTGCCAGAATGTAAGATAAGTTTTGCTCTTTTCCAGGGAACTTTCTAGAAGAGTATCTTTCAAGAAAGATGGATCTTGAGGAGCGAAGATTCGCACTAGAAGAACGAAAGTATCTAGACAGTCATCCTAACGTCGGGAAATAAAAGTAAATGATCGTCTAGGCTGGACATTCGGAGAGGCAGAAATCGCTAATAGATTAAGGTTAATTATAACGAACTTTTATTTTGTTTATTTCAAAACATCATGGTCAAGGACGTTAGATAAATCTGTGTCGATGTCACGACTCACGAGACGGCTTACTTTTTTCATATATTGCGCATATTTTGTTTACCATGTTGTTAAAAATAAACATATTGTTATGTTACATCATATTTTGCAGTGTTCCTATGTCTTTAACAAACTACTTAAACAACGTAACATTTTGTGTAGGTTAGCTGAAGACAAATTTATTAGTGCATGTAATAGCATGTGCAACAAATGGCATAAATGACTTAATGACTCAACATAATACATACTGTTCACACGAAAGTTCTAACGATGTAAATAATATTCCAACAAAGGGGCTTCCATGTTAAAAAACTTGTTGATTTCACTGCCATAGAGGCAAGTGTGGGCGTTTGTTAAAATTGTTCCTACTTTATAATATTTTCCTATGGGTGACGCCCCCTTTTACATTTATGGAAATCAATGAATCTTCTTTAGAACTTACTCCTGTGAGTAAGAATGAAATTGAAAATTTAATGTCAGTTTTAAAAGATTGCTCACCAGGCCTAGATGAATTCAAACCAATAATAGTTAAACATGCAAGAAATAACTTAACTTTACCATTTGTTCATATAGCAAACTTGTCTATCCATACAGGGGTTTTTCCCACTAAGTTGAAAACAGCCAAAGTTATCCCACTTTTTAAAAAAGGAAATACTTCAAAATTTTCAAACTATAGACCTATATCTCTACTTAGTGTCTTTTCTAAACTCTTAGAACAGATCATGAAAAATAGATTAATAACATTTATTGAAACATACAAACTTTTATTCAAAAATCAGTTTGGTTTTAGAAAACATTATTCAACTTATATGGCAATCCTCTCCTTCTTGGAAGAAGTGAGGATATCTCTAGATAAAAGCTCAACTCATGCTATTGGAATATTTTTAGATTTATCGAAAGCCTTCGATACAGTAAATCATGAAATTCTTCTAAAAAAACTTGAAAATTTTGGAATTCGCAATGTCGCAAAAAATTGGTTTGAAAGCTATTTATCTGATAGGAAAATCATTACTTCTTTTAACAACACTCTATCTGAAGAAAATATTATCACTTGTGGTGTACCCCAAGGGTCTGTTTAAGGCCCCATCTTATCCATTCTCTATATAAATGATTTACATAAGGTTTCAAATATTCTTAAATTTACTATTTTCGCAGATGATACAAATATCTTATGTTCAAACAAAGACCTTCATGATCTATATAGAAATGTAAATCTAGAAATGGAAAAGACATTAGAATGGTTTAAATCAAATAAACTTTCTTTGAATATAGACAAGACAAATTATATGCTATTTACAAGATCAAAGTTAAATATTGATGAAAATCAAGATTTTAATATAAAAATAGGGGGTAATATTCTTGAAAGAGTAATGCATACAAATTTTCGGGGAGTAACAATTGATTGTAAATTAAAATGGAATGAGCACATAAATAAGGTTATACATAAAATATCTAAAATTATTGGTATTCTGGGAAAGATTAAATATAAATTGAATACAAAACATGATTACCATTTATAATTCCCTTATATTATCACAATTGAACTATTGCAACATCATATGGGGTAATGCATGTAATAAAATTGAATAAATTGCTTTTGTTACAAAAACGTGCAGTGAGAATAATCACAAATTCTGACTTTTTAGCACATAGCCCACCTCTTTTTAAACAACTCAATTTTCTCGATATTTTTGACATACATAAGCTTGAAGTTGCAAAATTTCTTTATCAATACACAACAAAACCCGATGGCTTTCCTTTTGACATATTTGAAAATTATTTTACTCCAAATTTGATATTTCACGAACATAAGACAAGATTCTAAAATTGTCTTCACATGAAAAAATTTAGAACAATTCTAGGTCAAAACTCAATAAAATATTCAGGTGCTCAGCTTTGGAATAATCTGCCAACTTCTTTGAAAACATTACCTTTCATTAACTGTTTTAAAAAGAATTTTAAAATTCATATGACATCAACCTATCATGAACTGAATTACTGACAAACATATATGTAGATTTTATATATTGTTATCAATTTTATTCTCATTTAACTGAGTAAATATTTTTAAATTGTTCTTTTTTCTCATTTCCATTTGACTCAGGTTAATATTTAGGTGTTATTATGTATTTGATTTTAATTTTAGAGAATAAATATTTTTAATAAAAACAAACAAAAAAAAACATCAGCACTTTCAGGTTTTTCTCAAAGTCTAAAAAGGCAAATTTACTGATTATTTTGCCAAAGCCCCATTCAACGCTCTCTCGCACAGAGCTCATGAGCTTGTTGAACCTTTCCTCATCTGGTGTAATATGTAGACCTCTAAATGGGGCTAGTAGGTATGGCGATTTGGGGTAAGCAGGATCACCATACAAGCAAAGTGACTCTCTGTTTGGTAGATTTTTTGCTTCAAGATCATTCAAAATTCCACTTCTGCGGAGCATACCAGAATCGTGCCTTGATCCCTCGACAGGTCCGGACATGTTTGTAATGAGACATTTGGAATAACAATACTCTGGAATTTGATAACATGCTGACGACAATGCCCACTGAAAAAATGTCGTTGACCTGCTGTTGGTCGTGCAATTGATCGTGCTGTCCCGTCTATAAAGCCATAACAGTTTAGCAGGGGCATCTTTTGCACGTATGGCTTAGCAGTAGGTTTCAAGATGACCAATGGTCATCCATGGTTGGTCAAAATCAACAAGTATTCTATGGTAATTGTCATATACAAAATTTACAGTTTCATTGAATAAAATAGACGCCTCTGTAATGTTCATGCCGAACTCTGAAGAAATATCGTAAAGCATGTAAAGCCTGTTTGGGTACACCAATCTACGGAGCATTAGGCAAAGTCCCTCTAATCCAGTACATTTACAATTGTTGTAGCCAACAAAATAAGGTGGAAATTGCATTGTATCTCTAAGTGTATAAATATCATCTTTCTCAAAACGGAATGATAGTTTACATTCATCATTTGACATTGTTTCCAAATTTAGCCTAAACATAAACTCCCTGTGTCTCCTATTCATATTACGAGCTCACTCATGAAGAAGAAATAGTTCTTCATCTTCAACATCATCAACGATGGCAGCAGCTGTAAGTGGATCCATAATGATGCAGAGTAGCAGCAGATAAATGTAATTATAATGTCCTTCAGCCAAAATATATCAATTTCTACTAAAAAGTGTTCAATGTAGAGCAAATTTGACACTAAATACAGTACTATAGCACGCGTGTTTCACTCTCAACAAGTGGTGTATAGTCACTGTATAAAAAGGTGTACAAAGGTTCAACGGTAGGTCAAACCTGATATAAGTTTCTAATGTTATACTTATAACGAAACATGATTTTAATCTGTAACTTATACTTATACTTATAAACATACGTATCCGTATAAGTAGAATCAATACTGTACGTATAACGAAAATTCTCTATTGTCAAACAAATACATTTCAGGAGAACATAAAAAAATAAATGCCAGAAACGAATGCTGAAAAATAAATCCCAAGTTTAGAATGTTTTGTTCTTTTACGATTTGATAATTATGAGACAGAGACTAAGAAATTAAATGCAACGAAATATTTTCACAACGTAATATGTATACTATTTTATTCCTAATTCCTTATTATTAAGTTCTATGCGTTAACGTATTTTATCTGTTTCAAAATGTTTCAATTTATTTTGCCTATATATAAGAGATTGAAGAAGATAAGATAAACTGTTCCATAACATAAATTGTGTTTTAATAACCTTTTTAGAATCACAATGTAAAATAAATCCGCCGTTCCTGCCATTCTGGTAACGCCATGCAATGGATGCAATTCAAAGTGAGAGAGAGAGAGAGATCTATGAACATCAGAATGCGTCCATCCAATTAATTTGGCCAAATACATGGCATGAAACTGGAGTAAGCTTAAGTAAGTCCCCCTTTCTCTGGTAAATTATGACTATATATTTTTCGGAGAACCAGGGTTTCGGACAGCTGGATTTCGGACAACTGGGATTCGGACAACTGTTCTGCTAGGGTTAGTTCTGTTTAGAGGATACTGTGGAGTAGTTTTGAGATTTACATTTCGGGCTTCAGTGTTTTGGTAAAGAGCTTTGAGGAAACACCTTGCTACATGATGCCATCCCTGTAATTCTACCTGTTACATTGATTCAATGAGGTCAAGTGCCCTTCCCATGTGAATTCATGGCCAACCCAACCCAGTGTGTTTGCTTGCAAACTATGCATATTTATCATCATCTGGAGTAGAACTAGAAAATGGCAAATCCACGGAGTAGCAAATCCCAACGAACACTATATAAATCATCAATCTGTACAGTCACAATGTAATATTTACCATCTACTCATTTCTTCAATAAATATATATATCATTGTAGTATCATGTAACAATACTTTCAAGATAACTCTAAGTAATGGCGAATTTCTGCTCTAGTCAGCCATTTTGAATTTTCAGAGGCGCAAATCAGAAAAACAATGCCACAATTGTGATCTACTCTGAAATACCTTCAATTTGAGTAGAATATAGCCATACTTTTAAGAGGTCAGAAAATAATTGCGAAATTCCGCATTAGGCGGCCATTTAAAATTTTTTGAGGCCCAAATCAGAAAAACAGTATAATATTTGCAATCTACTCTAAATTGCTTTTCATTTGAGTATAATAAAGCCATACTTCAAAAACATCTCAAAATTAACGCAAATTCCAGTTTTTCCCAATCCCCAATTTACGGCCCCTGGGGGTCAGGGTGAAAAACCCGGGATAAATGTTGTTAATATACTACCAAAATTTCAAATAATAATATTTATTATTTTGGTTTAAAATAAAAAACATAAGATTTTTGCAAAAAATTCCCGCCATTTTTTTTTGCCTAAACCTATTCACCAATATACATCTTTCCACCAAATATGAAGCAAATCTGTCAACTAGTATTCGAGTTATCTTCCGGACAGACGGACGGACTGACTGACTGATGGACGGACGGAGGGATTCACTAGATCCCTATAGAACTTCGTTCGTTGGGATAATAAAAATATAATTTGTATTTATCTGGACACATTACTGGTTAAAAACTGATATTTCAACATCTGTTGCGTGCGCAATACCTTCTCACTATGACTTCGTTGAATCAATGTAACAGGTAGAATTACAGTCAAACTTCACATTTTTACAAAATGATCGTTTAACTTATTTTCACATATTTTTGGCTGATATCTTCAAAGACAAAATGTTAATATAACAATGGAGGTCGTCCATCCTAATTATACACAAGTGTGTTTCTAGGAACCACCCGGTACTAACTCACCGGGGCGTATCGAAACCAAAACACCCCACAAAACAGTTAATTTGAATTTCAAACCTACCATTTCTTTGGAAAATCAATAATTGTTAGTCTCAAAGTACACCGTTTTTCTTCCAACTTGTTCCATTAAAACCTTCACAGATATACCTTTCACTCGAGACATTGTTTTTGAGTACAGAGTCACTCGTTTTAGCGGCGTTTTGGTCCCCAGATGTGAGAAGATGCAAATCTTCAGAGATCTCAACCAAAAGCCTCGATATATCGCCAGTTCTTTTATTATTCTCCCCTATATTTTGCACAAGGACTCCCATTTCAACCTCCATCTCTGCATCAACATATTTATTACATTAACGCAGCAATTTCCGAAAGTCCTACGCATCTCTTCCAAAACACCCCGTTGGATCTATACACCTTATCTAGATACTGGACTGTGGGGCGTTTTGGAAGACAACGGGGCGTTTTGGTCAATTTCGAACAGTTGCGCAGGATTTTTCAAAATTGCTGCGTTTCATGTAATAAATATGTTGATGCAGCGATGGAGGGTTGTAATTGGAGACCTTGCGCAGAATATGGGGCACAGTGATATAAGAAGAGTGATATAAGAACTGGCGAGATATCAAGAATTATGGTTGAAATCTCTGAGGATTTGCAACTTCTCACATCTGAGGACCAAAACGCAGCTAAAACGAGCGACTTTGTAAACAAAAGCAATGTCTCGACTGAAAGGTATTTCTGTGAAGGTTTTAATGGAACAAGTTTGAGGAAAACGGTGTAGTGTGAGACTCACAATCATTGATTTTCCAAAGATAAGGTAGATTTGAAATTCAAATTAACGGTTTTGCGGGGCGTTTTGGTTTCGATACGCCCCGTCAAGTTAGTACCGCGTGGGAACATCAATTCTGTAATTATAGACATTTAAATAGAAAATATTTGAAAATAGTGTGTATAGTTCCAATACGGGTGCGTTTCTTTAAAGTTTTTAGTCACCCTTCCCTTTTGGCATTTGTGCTTATATATCCAATACACCGTTGGAAAGCTGAAAGGGTCAGCTTTAAAAATCTGACATCCATTCTAATCTTTAGTGAATGTAAAAAGAGATATTAACCCTTTCAACCCCAAGGGGTCATTTATAAATTTTATGAAAATCAATTTAAAAATGACAAGTACTACTATGGCCAGAATGGATTATTTTTAGGTTTACAATAACTCTATGTCAAATTATACTTTGGAGAATATTTAAGAGTTTGAGCCCATATAAGCAAAGATAGGGGTCATTAAGTGCAGTGACCCCATACTGCTACACAATGCGTCAGAATTTTTTTTCCAGTAGAACTGAGATTTGATATTTGAAAATAATATGTACTTTAATGTGTACTTTGGGTATTTAGGAATATACAATACAAATTACTTATTTTCTCCTGAGAATATTAAGATTGCAGCATGTGTGTATTGACTTGACATGAGGTATCATCATATCCCTTTGACCTTAATATTATCTTTTTAAATATACCCTCATAAGTTTACATACAACCACCCTCCCACCCTCATATAAACTAAGTAGAGAAGCAAAGTCAAGTGACATGGGCATGACACAAATATATTATTTATGCAATAAAAGTATATTACAGTACACAAATATGATGTAAAAAGAAACTTCCATTGTTTTCATGGATATTTGGGTGGTAATTTCAAAGAGAAAGTAATCATAACCACAAAGTGTAAACATCATAATTGTACACTGTTGTGTTGCCTAGACCACAAACTTTGTTGTTATGGACATTTCGATTGAAAATAGAAACCGATTGTCAACATATCTCGTATTTTGATTGAAAAAGTATGATTGATTTCTTAATTTTACCCCTTGGTGATGAAAGGGTTAATATCTAGGTTAGATTCTTAATGTTGACACTCTCGGCTTTCCAAGGATGTATTGGAACCTTTGTGCAGAAGAGGTAATTTAAAAATCAATAAGGAGCGCACTCAGAGGCACTATTTTGCTCAAGTATTCACCTTTCCCCAAAGTCCAAAGTGTACTCATTTGACCGCTGGGCTGATTGGTCGATGAAAATCAATGACGTCAAAGCAGGGCACATTTCGCGCCAAAACTTCAATTCCTATTAGATCGCCGAATGAGTGAAATAGATCTCATTATAAAATGATAACAAAACTAAGTGAAATATATTTTTCTGACTATTTTGTCTTAAGCTTTGTCTTAAATATACCATCCGGTAAATCAAACCGTAGAAATAATTGTGATACGAGTGCTCATCTTTTAACAAAGTGAATCCAACTACGCAAACCGAAGATTGACAATCATTCAAACAATAAGACTGTATGGATTACGAATATACATTTATCATGATTATTCAATTAAATAGTTCATTATGTTTCTAATAAAAATACATATGTTTTAAATGTCAGAGTCCACTTGCATTTTTCCCATTCTTTCAAAATCATGCAGTTTTTATCATTCTGAGCACTTTTCGTATGATTTTTTTGCCAAAACTGTCAAAAAGCTCCCCCTTGGTAAAACCGCTCCCCCAGGTTACTCCTGACTACGGGCTTGAATTGCCAGGGGTTTTCTCTTGTAGGTCTACGTCCAAAAATATCCTGAAAGTTCTCTAAAAAGATCGATATTTATAAGAACGCCCATGGGCTTTTCAAGAGATAAATCTCTTCAAATAGACGATCGTTGGTAAAACAAGCAACTCTGGTGCATTGTCTCAAAACTTACATGAACGGCCTAACATTGTTCAATGAAATTAGTCATCACTCATGTAACCATTGTCAAATTCTTTGGCAGACATAAAAGTAACATTGTCATGTGGTATAATAGGAGGCTGAACGTAAGTGAAAATAACACACCGTTGGCCCAGATTTGAGAGTCGAATACTTTTTCTTCAAGGTTAAGCTGTATCCCCTTCTTCACCCCTTGAGAAAATATTATACGAACTTAAGATTACAAATACAAAGGCTGAACTTTGGGAGATCTCCCCCCAAGCAAGTCAAAAAAGACATTTGACCTTGAGAAAGTCATTGATGGTCAAATCTTTTTTGACCTTGAGAGAGTCATGAAGGGTCTTATCTATAGTTAGATTTAAACTTTTGAGAAGATCATTGAAGGTCAAATCTTAAATCTAAAGTCAGATGTGAACTTTTGGTAGATGATACAGAAAAATTGAAGTCAGTCTTTTGTAAGTTATTGGAAGTTTTAAGAATTTGTTACAGATGCCAACTGCCGCCCCCAACCGCTGCTCACAACTGCCGCCACAAAAATGGAGACCATAACAATATGTCACCACTTCTTGGTGGGGTTTGTAGAAAAAACCGGGTACCAAGTAGTAAATCCTCCATGCTGGGTTCAAACTTGGTACCCGGTCGAAAAAACCGGGTACCAAAAAACGAAAAATATGAATATATAACATAATTAGATCATTGGAAAACGTGTAAGATTTGTTTTGAATTCACAAAAATGAATGTAACTTCCTTCAAAATTGAGCTAGAAGCTTCAAATAAAAAGCATTTTAAGGCTCTTGTTTCCTCTATCATGATGGTCATATTTACATTGGTTATGGGAGGGGGAAATCGAACCCCCTCCTGGCTACGGCTATGACATTGTAAGATGATTTGAAAAACATGACAAATGAATCTTACTCTATTTTCAATAGTTCGTATGTTGGTATGTGAATTGTTTTGATTATGATTTAAATCTGTAAATAGCTATCGTTACTTTAGCAGAGAGGTGACGTGTATTAATTTACATGATGCAACGTGTAAGATTTTGATTATTTATCATAATTTAAGTTATCCCAATTTTCGACGAAACGTCCACTGAAGTGTAAATTGTTACGTCTTACAATGTCATAGGCGTAGCCAGGAGGGGTGCGATCGCACTCCCCCCCCATAACCAATGAAAATATGACCATGATGATAGAGGAAGAAAAGAGCTTTTTATTTGAAGCTTCTATCTCAATTTTGAAGGAAGTTACATACATTTTTGTAAATTCAAAACGACCGGGTACCAAGTTTGAACTCAGCATGGAGGATTTACTACCCGGTACCCGGTTTTTTCTACAAACCCCTTCTTGGTGGTGACATAATAAAAGCTGTAATCCAGTATTTACACAAAGTGTACCTACATGTATCACCTCACCTGTTTCGCCATTCGCATTAATGAAGCGATAATGAGGAAGACCACACGTGCAAGTCTAAGGGTCTTAAAGTGTTAGCGTTTGAAGATTGAGAAAGGTTAAACACAACTTAAGTTTCAGAAGAAATGATGATTTTTCTTGTCATACCCTCAAAGTAAGTTGAAGTTATTGTATTTGAAATTGTCAGTAAGTTTTCAAAGTACCTGTGCAAAGATAGGACCATTTCCCATAAAGGAATGTGTTACCTGCAGAATTGTAAGAAGAGCTTCATTATTCTGGTGCATCACTTTCATGGTACTTTCACAGCAGCGTCTAAATACACCTTCTACCCCAGCTATCCCCATACCATCCACTATGTCCCTGGTCAGCCTGAATGGAACAGTCTCTGGTGTTGGCAGAATCTTACCTTGCTCAAATGCAACACCTAGGAGAAAATACAGACCTATTTGTTACTAAAACAAAGCACAGGGTAAACAATATTGTACGGTACCTAAAACATAGCAGTGTGGGCTTGTTAACCCATAAAGCAAGATGCCCACCGAAAAGTCAATCAGCTGTAGAACTTCTTACCATGCATGCCATGTAACATGTGTAAAAATTTGAAGTAAAACACCACCCTGCATCCATTTTGTCAAGAAAGTTACCTGTTTACTTGAAAGTTACTTTATTCCCAGCTGAAACAATGATGAAATTGTTAATAAATTAATAAATATGCCTAGCCTCCAACAAGATTTTTGAAGGTCGTCATATTTCTAAAATAGATTCAATCAGAGGTCGAAGGGTTTTTCTAAAATTTTCATCTCTACAACTTCTTACCATGTAGCATGTGTAAAAATTTGATGTCAATCTGTTAAGTGGTTTTCCTAAAATCGCGATGACAAGATTTATCTAAAAACTTTCAAAATGATCACCAGAATGCAAGATGACTGCAGAAAAGTTAATCAGCTTTGAAATGAATCCGTGAAGTGGTTTTACTTTTATTGCAGAATGGGCAGTCAATCATATAACACCTAAGTGGATGCGATGTGTCAACTGTGTCTCACATTTTTGCTATAATTCTGTCTTGATTGTTGTAAAAACACTTTGACCCTGCGATTGAATATATTCAAGCGTTCTCTTGTTTTTATATTCCTTCTCTGTCAAAATGTTTGAGATGAACTCTAGAAAGACCCTTCTACCTTTGATTGAATATATTCAGGTGTTCTCTTGTTGTTTTTTTATTTAAACTAGTGTGCATTACTCAAAATTACTCAAAATTAAGCAAAGTCAGTACATTCACCAGGAAGAGATTCAAAACACCACCCTGCATCCATCTTGTCAAGAAAGTTACCTGTTTACTTGAAAGTTACTTTATTCCCAGCTGAAACAATGATGAAATTGTTAATAAATTAATAAATATGTCTAGCCTCCAACAAGATTTTTGAAGGTCGTCATATTTCTAAAATAGATTCAATCAGAGGTCGAAGGGTTTTTCTAAAATTTTCATCTCAAACATTTCTTAACACCCAGTAAGTAGCAGGTTGAAGGGTCGCAGGTGGGTCACAGGGTTGCAGGGTTTTTATAACATTCCCAAATTATTTCATTCATCCATTGCAACCTTTTATCAAGACAACCATTATATTCAAAATGGCAGCGATTATCTGACATTTTTGCCTCAATGGATTCATTCAAAAAGGAATAATTAAGGCCAACTAGAAAACACTCCACAGAATAGCAAATCCCACCAAACGAAAGATGTTTTGATAGATAGTGGCCATATTGAAAATATCATCTTGAACACAGCATACCAGCATTTACAATTTGAACCAAATCCATCCACCAGTATTTGAATTATCAAAGATTACGTTTTATTTATGAAAAATGGTGGCCATTTTAAAATACAGCCACCATCTTGAAAATTTTAACAGAGTTCATTAATTGTCCCTAGGTAGCAGCATGTAGAATTTGAACCAAATCAGTTCACTGATATAACTTTTTTTACGAAAATGGCAGCCATTTTAAAATTCAGCCACCATCTTTAAAACTCTTTTTTGAATAGAGCAACTGTGTCCCTAAGCATCAGCATATAAAATTTAAATCAAATCTGTTCACTAATATTTGAGTCATCAAAGATTACATTTTTGGGGCAAAATTGCGGCCATTTTGAAATTCAACCACAATCTTGTAAATTCATTCTCCAGCTGAGCTACTGGGTCTGTTCATTTTGAATATCAGAGGTCATCTTGAAAATTGCATCCTGAACAGAGCATATCAGCACATAAAATTTGAACCTAATCCATTCACTGGTTTTTGAGTTATCATTAAGGTTACCTTTTCTAAAGAAAAATAGCGGCCATACCCTTGGCATCAGCATATAAAATCTGAACCAAATCTGTTAACTGGTATCTGAGCTATCAAAAATTACATTTTTATCAAGATTTATCTTCACCTTCATTTACCAAGTTCTATGTTCATCTTCATTCACCAAGATCTATGTTAACCTTCATTGAACAAGATCTATGTTCACCTTCTTTTACCAAGATCTATGTTCACCTTCTTTTGCCAAGATCTATGTTCCATCTTCATTCACCAAGATCTATGTTAACCTTCATTTACCAAGATCTATGTTCACCTTCTTTTACCAAGATCTATGTTAACCTTCATTGAACAAGATCTATGTTCACCTTCTCTTACCAAGATCTATGTTCATCTTCATTTACCAAGTTCTATGTTCATCTTCATTTACCAAGATCTATGTTCATCTTCATTTACCAAGTTCTATGTTCATCTTCATTTACCAAGATTTATCTTCACCTTCATTTACCTAGATCTATGTGGACCAACTCAGCTGTGTGTCTATCTATGAGGATATTCTGAACGTGCCGATCCCCTAGTCCTAAAATGTAGCCCACTGGAACACACGTACAGCATTTAACACTCAATGTTAGAAATTGGGAAAATCCTTTTTAAATTGATTTTCCTGTTTATAAACATACCCATCTCTCAATTAATTGCCTTAGATTCCTTTGCAATCGGTTATATATATTTTGCAAGTGGATCCAAGAGACCAAGTGGGCGAGTCAATTATTTTGCAGGTGAGGCATGATACACACATATCAATTTTGTATTTAGTGAATTCCCAGTGATTGATTTCAGTACAGTAAAATTGTCATAATGAACACCTCTTTAGTGAAGATCTGTGCCCAGTGAACACATGACTCTACTCTATTGAACACCTGTGTATAGAGAACACCAATTCCCAGCCAGTGATTTCAGATGAACATCTCTTTAGTGAAGATCTGTGCCCAGCGAACATATGAGTCTACTCTATTGAACACCTGTGTGTAAGCAAACACCAATTCCCAGCCAGTGATTTCAGTAAATTCATAATCATTGGAAAAATCTGTGATCTGGTATTTATGCATTCTAATCTGGTTTTTATTGAGTTCGCTTCTGATTTCGGAATTTACAGATCTGATATTTATTGGCTACTAAACTTTTAATAGGTTTTCCTTAATAAGGCAATGTAAGTATGTGAAAATTGATATATCCTACCACCACTACAAAATAATGGACTTGCCCACTTGGTCTCTTGGATCCACTTGTAAAATATATATAACCTTTGCGATCTACAATATGGTATCCTAACACCCGGGCTTTGTATAAAAAACCTCCTACCTCATACCCACCTACCCACGTACGTGGGACATGATACAGTCTTTGAAGGGTTCAATTTTAAAGATCTTAGTTTATTAAAACTTAGTTTATGATGAATTATAGATGAGATCTGTCTAGTCATAAAATAAAGCCGGAATTGTAGAAATGATTTAATAATCTTTAAAATTGAACCCTTCAATGACTGTATCATGTTCCAGGTAGGTGGGTAGGTGGGTATGAGGTAGGAGGTTTTTTATACAAAGCCCTAACACCCCTGGAGGAAGGAGGAAAGAGCTTTATGGAGAATGGTTGAAAACGAGATTCTCCTTCTGCAGCTGATAGTGATTAAGGCAAAAAACCTATAAAGGGATACATAGTCACTTCATCCCTGTTTTCTAACCATTTTAGACGTCTGAAGTCCAGTGCATGAATATCACTTCTTCTCTTACCAGAAGACATAAGTAGCAGGAATAGAGTTTTCCGTGTTGTGAATTTTAAGTCTGCTGTGGCTATAGGTTCAAATGGTGCTCTTGTTAGAGCATTCAGAATGAACACTAAATTTAATTTGGGAATAATGTGTAACGGGTTTGTGTAAAAAACCGGGTGACCGGGTACTTAAGCAGGGTTAGGAATTTTTTTTTATTTATAACGTTGGATCTGGACGATACATGTGCATTATTTTCGACGTCACGTTTTGAGGTTGTTTCAAATCGAAAAAACCTAATGACAACGTTAAATTTTAACGTTAACAATATTATGTTGGAAATGAACCGACTTAGTGAGAACACAAAGTTTTTGACATGTTTTTTTCCACCAACAAATATTTTGATATTAAAAGCTTGTTTTGACAACTTTGAATGACGTTTCAGTTACGTCACATATGGACCAATGTAGTAAAAAATCAAACATTCCTGTTTGTTATGTTTTCCACACTGCACTAACAACGAACTTTACGGACACGTTACAACAACGTTCTTTTTATACCATCAATAGATGTCTCATGTTTAGGTTGCCTCCATGTGTAAAGAACGAAAATGTGCAACGTCTTCTATGAACTTATATGCTACTTATGAGCAACGTGACATGGACGTCACTGTTTGCTGGATCAATTATTTTAAAAAGTGCTCTGCTTCGTATAGGGTAAAAATATCGAACAGCAGTGCACTCGGTAGGCTAAGTCTGTCAAGTCAATTCGCTACTATATATCGGGGGAAATGTGGAACTTTGAAAGTTGGTAACCCTGCTAGGAACGTTAGGTACCCGGTCACCCGGTTTTTTACACAAACCCAATGTGTAACAGCTCCGGTCTAAATCCTGAAACTGCCACGTATGGGCTGCCCAATCAATAATTCAACAAATACTCCAACAAAACATAGTTTGCTTATTAGTGGCCATCTTGAAAATTCCTTCTTGAGCAGAGCTTGTTTGTCCCAAGGCATCAAGATAAAAAATGTAAACAATATCCATCAATGAGTATTTGAGTTTTTTACAAAAAATGGCAGGCATTTTGAAATTCAGTCTACTGTGTCCCCAGGCATCAGCATATAAAACTTTAAAAAAATCCATTAACTGCCATTTGAGTTATCAAAGATTACATTACAATCATTCTAAAAATCTTTTCTTCAACATAGCTCCTTATCCCTAGGCATCAGCATATAAAATTTATTTGGGATGGGAAAACATGATATAATATGGAAAAATGAGAAAGAAAATGTATATGTCGTCACAACTTTAAAAGCAAAATTTGATCAAAAGTTAGGTAATCTCAAAAATAACAAAAATGACATAGAATTTTACTGAATGTTTGATGATTTGCTATTGATTACCTTTGACTTAACATCCTGATGACAATTGTGTTTTATGGATTATGACGACGGCTTTTGTGAATGGATGTTGACCCTTTGAAATGCCTATGGACTTGGAGACTGGATTTTATCTATCCCACATCATTTGAGACTGAATGCTGTATCTTGTATAAGTACTTGTATCTACAACTATTTTTGATGTTATGAGTATTGGCTATCAATTTCTAATTTCTTCAACATGTATTGTAATGACTTCAGTCTGAATGAAATGTCCCTTGGTGTTCTGGTCTTGGATTGTGATATCAGCTCTTGAATGGTGGGGGGGGAAAGGGGGAATTAGACATTCTTTCTTTTCACGTTAGATCATGGTTTTGGGATATATGGGGTTTGTTTTTCTTGACTGGTATGCACTTAGAGTTTGCTTTTTATTGCTAAGTTCCATTACAACTTTTGGTCCTCTCCCTTTGGCACATGTGCTTAAATATTTGAGAAGATCTGTTCCAGTTTTCGGATTGACCTAAGAGTTCAATATCCAGTTGTTTTTTGGGGTTCATTCAGGTCTTCTTTGGAATGTCATAGAAGCCTGAATGTTTGTAGAATTGAATCCTATAGAATTCAATTTATTGGACTGTGAATGGTCTCCACCTGGTGTCATGTGAGAGATGGGGTTATGATGTTTATTGCTAAAAGTGTCCTCCAACTCATTCCCTTGTGGGAAGAGCCTAGAATCACCGGCTTTAGCGAGCCTGGGATCATGAAGATCTGGGTTGAAATCTGACTGAGTCAAGACTTTTCAAGCATGTTTGTGGAGTGTGCTGGCATGTTATATGCAGAATTTTCAAAGTCAGTTGTGGAGTTCTGGAGTAAGCCTAATGAAGCATAGTCTACAATTTGACCCTCTTCCAGTTGTTCACCATAATACAAGGCTGTGTTGTTGAGGTTTACATGCTTAAGGATAGGGTTGTTGTTGTTGCTGTCCATATTTCCTAACTTCTGTCGGTTGACAAAAATTTCTATACAGCAGTATGTAGATTGCACTTGTATGGGGAAATTGAGGGACCTCAGCACATGTACTAACTAGTTTTATATTTTAGTTTGACGCGTCCAAGTTAATGTCATCAGTAAAAACCAGAGGGATTTAGGATACCATATTGTAGATTGCAAAGAAATCTAAGGCAAATAATTGAGAGGTGTATATTGCTGAATAAGGGGTTCCTTCAAATATTATACCACATATGTATAAAATATATTAAAATGTTTTATTGAGTCCATTTTAAATAACATTTTTAAAAATATTTAAATAATTTACACAATTTAAACATTTAATACTACGAAAACAATAACTCCATGGAGTAGATAATCCCACCAAACAAACGTGTTTTAATAAATAGCAGCAATATTGAAAATTTCTTCATGAACAGAGCTCCTTTGTCCCTAGCTATCAGCATATAAAATTTGAACCAAATCTTTCAATCGGTGTAGAGTTATCAAAAATGGTGGTCGTTTTGAAATTGTGTCCCTAGGCATTAACATATAGAATTTGAACCATATTCATCAACTATATGAGTTATCAATGATTACATTGCTATAGAAAAAATGGGGGCCTATTTAAAATTCAATAGCCATCTTAAAAACCTTTTACCAGCAAAGCTCTTTTTTGTCCATTGGCATCAGCATATAAAATGTGAACCAAATCCATCTACTGGATTTGAGTTATTATTGTTTTATATGAAAATAGGTGGCCATTTTGAAATTCATTGGCCATGTTGAAAATCTCTTCGTGAGCTTAAGCTTCTTTCTCCCAAAGCATCAGCATATAAAACTTGAAGGAAATCTGTCAACTAATATTTTATTTGAGTAATCAAAGATTCATATTTTATGCCATTTTAAGCAATTTTGAACTGAGTGGCCACCAGCAATATCGAAAATTTCCCTCGAGTAGAGGGTCTTACAACTCTTACACCCATAATGCATAAGCCTATAAAATTTGAATCAAATCCATTAACTGGAATTTGGGTAATTCTCCAGACAAATGAACAGACACAGGAATGAACACAAGGACTGATGGACAAACACACAGATGAATTGACAGATGGATAAACGGACAGCTTCTCAATATCCCCATGAACTTTGTTCTTTGGGATAATTATAAATATAACATTTTAAAATATTTACATCATATTTACATTCATGATATTTTTCAAGTTGAATATGCAGCACCATGTAAATATAAATATATGTTTACTGTACCTATTGAGTTGGTTGCCACACTATGTGTGTAAGCGAGCCTTCTCTCATACCACTTTGAAGGCTCCTTGAAAGACTCGAAGAAAAAATGCCGGAAAACAGGTTGGAAATGTTGACATATCCTTGTATAAGCCTCATACTTCTCTTCCACTGTTGCTTCCTAGGGGAAATAATCATCAATTTTATTGCCAATTTTGTGCCAGGAGAATTTTCAATTACCACATTCTCTGTAATTAGTGCCCAAGGCACTTAGAAAATTCCAAATACCACCTTGAGACCATTTATTTTTGGCTACCTGTATTTCATAAGTGACCAAGAGAACCAGGTGGGGTCTTGTACAGGGTGACCAGTAAGAAAATCTATCAATAGGCTGGACTTTGTTCAGTAACAAAGTAACAAAGTGTTACTCTTGACCATTTGTTTTACTTTTTAAAAAGGAGGTAAGAAAATCTATCAATATGCTGTTTATTTTCTGGAAAAGTGATTCCATTTGTGTTAGTTTTAAAAGGTATATAAATGTAACGATAGGCTGGACTTTGTTCATTTTTTGGAAAAGCGCTACTTTTGGCTAGAGGCTAGAGTACCAACAATAACCCAGATGCGAGTAGAAATAATCTTGATTTATGTAATTAAAAATTTAAAATTCAGTCAAAGTAATATATATTTGAAATCTACATGTAAAACTTTGAAAAATTAATTTTCTTTGAAAATGTGACTTCTAGCTCGGGGAGATTCCCCATAGACCCCATGCTATAAAATCACAAAAAATGAAATATCTTTTCTTTTAGTGGACAGATAATATTTTGCTTTACTGGACATATTTTCATTAGTATAAGTATCAGACACATAAGGGTTATATGAAAATTGAGCCACTTAAATTGATAATATTCAAGTTTAAGGGAACTTTCTTATATACCTGCCATGTTAATTGACCCGAATCAGCCACCTGGTGGTGAAACTGGTAACTATCTACTCGCATTTGGGTAATTGTCCAGCCTTCAGTATATATCGATTTTCTTACCTTTTTTAAAAACCAACACAAATGGCAAAAAGTAGTACTTTTCCAGAAAATAAACAAGAGTCCAGCTTATCAATAGATTTTCATACCCTTTTAAAAAACTAACACAAATGGCCAAAAGTAGCACATTTCCAGAAAATAAACAGAGTCCAACCTATTGATAGATTTTGATACCTTTTTTCAAAACTAACACAAATGACGAAAAGTAGCACATTCCTTGTCCAGAAAATAAACAAGAGTCCAGCCTTCAGTATGTATCAAGTTTCTTACCTTATTTCAAAACTGGCGAAAAGTAGCACTTTTCAAGAAAATAAACAGAGTCTAACCTAACAATAGATTTTGATACCTTTTTTCAAAACCAACACAAATGGCCAATAAAAGTAGCACATTTTCAAAAAATAAACAGAGCCCTACCCACCGATAGATTTTCATGGGGCCTTTCATACCTTTTTTTCAAAACTAACACAAATGGCCAAAAGTAGCACATTTACAGAAAATAAACAAAGTCCAGCCTATTGGTAGATTTTCATACTTTTTTCTAAACTAACACAAATGGCCAAAAGTAGCACATTTCCAGATAATAAACAGTCCAGCCTTCAGTATACAGTGTGGCTCAATAAAAATGTTACAAGTAAAAAAATATCAATATTTTTAATAATTTTGGCGAAGCTCTATTGATTAATTTGACACCAGCAGTTTTGAAATCCTTACATGGTTGACTGCACATGACAGATTTTATTAATTCATGTGAATCTGACTTGCGCGAATTTCTCAGCGGTTGAACAAGTCATGCCTTTCTCGGACAACATTCCAAGATTCCAACGCCAGCAGAATGGTAATTTTGGCATGTGCAGTGACAACAGTATGGCACACCTCTTTACAGGTAAAGGGTTGTGACAGAGCTCTTTGCAAATTGGATCATGGCATTGATTAACCCAGTTGAGTGGCCTCCAGCGTCACGGGACTTAAACACCCCTAAATTCCCTCTCTTGGGGCCACATAAATACCAAAGTCTTCACAACACTCCCAACTGATCTGAATGAACCTTTTCGAAGAATAACTAATAGGTCAGTGTGGTACGACAAGAAAGGAACCTCGTCACACTTGCTAGGGACATGTTGAGGCGAGCGTATGTTTGCGTGGATAGGCAACGGCGGCCACGTTACAAAGAAAGATAGGGTAATTACAGAAATGAATCAGTAAAATGTCCATTTTCAACTGTGAATAAGATGTTTAAGGAATCCTTTCTTTGGCTTTGTTCTTTTTGACCACTGAGAAGTTGTTGTTTTTTACGGTATCTTTATTATTTATTTCACTGATATAGTTTAAAATACAATTACAATAGCATCCCTAAATCGCCAGAGGGCATTATATAGGAATGGTGAGAGGCTGGGGGTGGCAGGCAGACAGGGTCCCGGACCAGAGCAGGCGTGACAGGACAACAGGATATCAGAAAGAGAGACATGAGGGAGGGAATTAGCTATTGTCTATAATGAAGTCAAGTATCAGTGAAATGGCTTTAGAGTTTACATCTATGCTTAAGTTTGGGCTTCCTGTTTTCAAAATGGAGATAAAATCAGGATATCAGAAAGAGAGACATGAGGGAGGGAATTAGCTATTGTCTATAATGAAGTCAAGTATCAGTGAAATGGCTTTAGAGTTTACATCTATGCTTAAGTTTGGGCTTCCTGTTTTCAAAATGGAGATAAAATCATACTGGGGAAGATTATTATTGAGAGAAGGTTCTAATTCAGCAAGTTTATCCCAGAGATCCTGTCTTTCTAAGGTTAAGCGATTGCACTGGAAAAGAATATGCTTTAAGGTTTGAGAGCTGCCACAAGCACAATTAGGGCTGTCAACGGAGTTAAAATTATGGGCATAAAATTGAGCTTTAAAAAATAAGTCAGCTCTTACTTTATTTACCACTATCTCATGCCGTCTAGAAAGATTGAGTTGACGTTGAATTTTAGAGGGGTTTTGGAGGAAAAGCCGTTGGTGTTTTTTGAAATTATGGAGAGTTTTCTTGGTTTTAATAGAAGGGGGGAGCTCTAGCCATTTTGAGATTGCAGAAGGTATTGCTGAGGATGAAAATCTAGCAGAGCATCTTATAGGCATTTTGAATGGATCAATGTATCTCAAGTTTCTATTCCTAACATTACTATACTTATCAAAAATGTCTGTGATATATGAGGGACTTGTACCATTGGCAACTTTGAACATAAAATTATTTGATTGTATTCTACGTCTGGATTCAAGTGTTGGCCAGTTTAGGAGACTTAGAACCTTTTCTGTACTGCTCCCTTGGATGCAGCCAGAACAATAGAGTGCCGCTGTGTAATATAGACTATCGAGTCTTCGCAAAAGAAATTTAGAAGCTGTGCCATATAAAATGGCACCATAATCAAAGTGAGGAAGAATGAATGAGTTGAAGATTGTTTCTAGGTGCTTGCTCCCAAGCTTGAATTTGAGTTTCTTTAATGGGTTTAACATTTTTCTTATTTTAACTAGTACATGTAAATCACCAATATGCTTATCATAAGATAAGCATGGGTCAAAAATGAGTCCTAAATGTTTGTGCTCGGTATCTCTTTTGATTTCTACATTGTTTAGTTTTGAAGTTGACACATTATCAGTTTTTGTTCTAGGTGAGTGGAAAATCATCTCGGAACTCTTCTCCGGTTTAAAATCAAGTTTCCAAGTGTTAGACCATTCTTCTACTTTAATTAGATTGGATTTTACCACTGCTTCTATTTGTTGTGGTTGTTTTGGGTCAAAAGGATGGTGTAATGAGGTATCATCTGCATAAATGTAGCAATGACCATCCAGATTGTCTGGAAGGTCATCAATATATATTAGAAAAGTATTGGCCCTAGTATTGAGCCCTGTGGGACACCGCAGTTTATAAAATTAGTTTCTGAGTAATTGGAGGTCTCACCAGAAATTTGAATAGCAATTTTCCTGTTGGTAAGATAAGATGTGATAATTTTAAGGATTTGACCTTGAAAACCATACGCCTTGAGTTTATGGAGGAGTAACGAGTGCTGAACCCGGTCAAAAGCGGCGGCTACGTCCAAAAATATTGTTTTGGAGGCTTGTCCTTGTTCAAAAGTACTTTGAAGAAAATGCTCAATAGATAAAAGTTGATGAATGGTGCTATGACCAGGTAAAAATCCAGACTGATACTTAAAAAGGAGATCATTGTCAAGTAAGTGTTTTCTGATTCTGTCAGCAAGAACCTTTTCAAAAACTTTGGATATGGAGCTTAACAAGGTGATAGGTCTGTAGTTATTTACATTTGATTTATCTTTTTTTTAAAGATTGGACAAACATTGCCTATTTTCCAAATATCTGGATAAGTGCATTTAGTTAGAAGTTTATTAAATAATATGGTAAGAGGTTTTGAAATGGTATGAGCTGTAAGGTTCAACATTTTGTTTGTGATATTATCTGGCCCGCATGCTTTGGAGGTATCTAAGGAGAGAATTATTTTCATAATTTCAAATGGTCAGTCTTAGCGGAGATGAGTAAAGAATTTGTCCTCATAGGGAATAGAGGCAAATGGTCAAAACTGGCATCTGTATGGTTTTTAGAGGCAAAATAGTTCATGAATTTGTTTGCAATATCAAGGTTATTTGAAAATGCGTGTCTAGTAGTTTCATCATAAATGCTAGATATGCTGTTTTTTGTCAAATTTGTGCCTAAAAATGATTTGATGATTCTCCAATAATTTTTATCGGACTTACATTATTTAGATGGTCAATTGATGATAAGGTTTTTTTTCGTGATCTATTTTGGCTTGTTCAACAAGTTGGGCAACTTTAGTTGCCTGTTGGTCATATATTAATTTATTAAGTTGAGACGGAGATTTGGAAAATTTCTTGTAAAGCGTTTTCTTCTTCGAAATTTCTTTTTTAAGTGTACTGGTGATCCATGGCTGATCATTTGACCGAACAGTTATAATTTTATTTGGAATTCTGGATTTGGATATATCCATGAGTTTATTCATGAAGTTAGAGGTAGCCAAATCCAAGTCTATATTCTCATAACCAGTTTGTGTTCCTGATTGCGTTGTTCAGATTTTCTAAGTTGACTTCGTTGTATTTCCAAATAGTTTTTTTTATAGGTTTGGATTTGGTTACTCC